CACCCCAGCCCGGGGAGCCGGCTTTCTACCTTTTCACGTCACAGTTTACGCCTCGGTTTTGTTTTTTTTTTAACCGCGGCGTGCACTTGTTTGATTTTTTTTTTTTAAATTATGAACTATAATTAGTGCCCTATGTGCCCCCGAGGACACGCGGAGACCCCTGCGCGGCCTCAATCTCCCAGTACTTTGCCACCTGGGAGGCGCCCGCAATTCTACTTTGTTTCTCACTTTTCTGTCCTGGTTGAATTCTCTCAGTGTGCACGCGTCGCTTATATCATAATTGAAAAACCCAACAAATAATACCGACGCGATCTGGGAAGGAATCGCGCTGTGAACGCGGCGGCACACGAGGGGACTTCTGACCCTGCGGCCCCGGCGCCCTGGTTCCAGGACCCGGCCCCAGAGCTGTCTGGCCGCTGCTCCCGGCTCCGCGCTCTGCACTTTGCCGGGTAATGAGCCCGGAGGTCAAGCTCGACCCCTCACCCCACCGGTGAGAGCGTGGGGTTGGCCGCGCGCGGTGGCGGTGGCGCAGAGCAGGGGCCCTGAATCTTAATGAGAGAGACGAACGCTCGCGGTTCTTGAGCAGGACGCCTCCGCCCTTCAGTATGCGGGCGGGTGGGCTTCCCAGCTCCCGCTTAGAAAACTGCATGACTTTGACCACTGATGTAACCTCTGGCCCCCAGTCTCCCGGTTTGCAGAGTAAAATGGATTAGATTAGAGAACTCCTGTGAAGCTTTTAGCTGGAAGTCCTGGCATATGGCTTGCTCAATGCCAGCCAGCCATTGTTATCCCTTTGTGAGGGGCCTTGGGGTCCTTGAAGGATGACAAAGAAAGAGGAAAGGCATCATAGAAAAATCCTCGCGATCTAACGTTAAGTGAAAGAAACATTATCTCTAATGTTGCTGCAGGCTAGTGTAAGAGGAGGCGTGCAGGACCCCAGAGAGCTGGAGGCAAATACACACACCTGTTTAAAGCGCCAAGGTAGGTGAGTGCCAGGTAGAGAGATCTGCGTGGTTGTGTGAGTTAGGCTACCTGCTGAGCCTGCGGGCCGGGGATGCCCAGGTGGGAGAGCGCCTACTGGCTTAGGAGCTGGTCTGGTGGCCTGGTGGAGCCTCAGTGTGTCCCTCCGTGAGATGGGACCACAGTGCTGCATCGCGGAGAAGCTCAGAGAAAGCCGAAGCGGGCGAGGCTTGCAGCCCAGCGATAGGCCCTGGAGGCCACGGCCGGGGCGGAGCAGAACACATCCGCCTTCCCGAGGCCCTCGCCGGCCCGGCTTGGACCTTACGGCGGAGAGAATTTCAACCCGGGCCCAGAGCCGCGACCGGAGCTCAGCCCGTTCCCCTGCCTTCTCCGCACTGCCACGGGAGGCTGCGTGCACCCTCTCCCCTGACACTCTGGGGACGCAGCGCCTCGCGCGGCTCCCCCCAAGCCGTAGCCCTGCAAACTTCTTGCCATGTTCTCCTCTCCCGCGGGCGGCTGGAGCGAGCTGAGGGGACAGCACTTACCCGAGGAGACGACTGCAAAGGCATGGGCAGCGCTGCTCGGACCCGGGCGCGGCTGAGTGACAGCTCCTGGTCGCACCAGGCTTGGCCTGGAGACTCCTCTCGGGCGCCAGGAGCACGTGGAGCCGCGCTGGGTCCCTGACGTTTTGGCTGCGGCCAGGAACTCTCCGCCCCGCAGCCCACACCCCACATCCCACGCCACACGCGGCCAGCGCAGAACTTCGCGGCAAAATCACAGAAAACTCATACTCGGTGGGAACTCAAAGCCCCGACTCCCTCCCGCTTTCGTCCTTTTTTAAGAAGCGCCAGTTCCTCCGACAGTGGGAACTGCAGAGAGAGGAGCTGGAGGTCCGGCCCGAGCCCCGCGGATGGCCGGACCTGGGCTCAGAGCAAGGCATTCTTGTTATCCCCACTTTAGAGACGGAAAAGCAGAGGCCTGCAGCTGGCAAGTCTCAGGGCAAATGGGATTTTAGCTTGACTTTTGCCGAGCCTCAGTTTTCTGGTCCGTAAATCTCGAACAGCAATAGCCTTCGTTTGTCAGGATGATGGAGACAGTCATTAAATGCGCAGAGGAGAGCGCATCGTCTCCTCAGGAAAGGGGCTTCCCTGACCACGCGAATTCACGTGGCCTAGCCACAGCCGCAGGAGAGCTCAGCTGGCAGGACGCCTCTCCGTGGTCCAGGCTCTGGGCTGGGCACAGCCGAGCAGCTGGTGAGGCTGGGGCCTCGGAACCCCAGGCGCTTCCGCTGGGCTGGGGACTTGCCATAAGCTTGACAAGGTCTTTGGTTCTCGACCTTCCCATCTGTAAAATGGGCTAAGGCGTGTTTCTTAGGTGAGTTACGGTGCCCTCCAATCACATAGGGACCATGTCCTTTTGCTCACCATTTAATTCGCAAGACCTGGAACAGTGCCCGGCACACAGTAGGCTTCAAGGAGGTGCTGTTGGGAGCTCTGGGCAGGTGCCCTCAGTCTCTGAAGTGAGACCTGGAATCCAGCCTCAGTTCTACCAGTGCTGGCTATTTGCCCCAGGCAAGTCATGCAACCTCTCCAGGCCTCAGTCGCTAAATTTTAAAATAGGACCTTCCTTTCTGCGTTATTGAAGATCACACGAGACAATACCAGAAAATGCCTGCCGAGGACCCAACATGGTTTATTATTATTCTCGACTTGCTCAGTGAATGCCTATTCCTGCTCCCCAGGACCAGCGAGGATGGCCTCTGCCCTCGCGCCCCCAACCAGGTTTCTGAAGCACCGCAAGCTGAAAAAAGCACACATGCGGGGTCAGCGCACTCTCTTTAATGGAAGGAGATTCTCGTTTCTTACAGCAACAGGTAAAAACATAAATACGGGTGGGTGGGCGGCGGCAAGGCTGCGAGGGCCCGGGCGCCGGGCCCAGGCTCGGGAAAGGAGGCCGGATCTTAGCCCCGGCGCGCCCGGACCGGGCTCCCGGTCCCAAGTTCCCGGGGTTCGGCCCGTTGAGGGTGCCCATGGGCGCTCGGAAGGCACTTTGCGGCCGAGGGCTAAGGCACCAGGCTGTGGGACCTTTCACCCCAAGCTGCATAAACTCGGCCACAAACTCCGGCGCGTAGAGACAAAGGCGCGTGGGGCTGGAAAAGCTCCGTGGCCTCTGCGGGAGTGAGTGTGAAATCCGAGGGCCGCAGGAACCTTTCGGGAGCCCTCCCTCCCCTCGGGGGTTAGTGCCCCTCGCTAGAGGTGAGGTGAGATCCGTCGGGGGCGCCCCAGGCAGGCCCCTTCCCTACCAGGCTCGGATACCGTGCAGCGTGGACACCCCCGAGTTGCCCTGCGGAATCCCGGGGCTCTGCACCGCGTTCAAGTCCCCGACGCCGAAGTTCACGAAGTTGTTGTTGGCGGCGGCCGTAGCCGACTGCGCCGGAGGTGGCCCGGCCGGGTAGGCGGCGGCGCAGCTGTAGCCAGGGGTGCAGGCTGCGCCACCGTAACCCGGGTACGCGGAGTAGGCGTTATAACCGTAGGCGTTGAGGCCTACGCCGTAGGCTGGCGCGTAGGGCGCCGAGTCCCCGAGGCAGGGCTTGCCATCGCGCACCAGCACGGGCACCGCGATCCTGCGGGCCGGCGGCGGCGGCGGGGGCAGCCCCACCAGCTCCAGAGTCTGGTCCTGCCGCTGCCGCTTGCACTTGTAGCGCCGGTTCTGGAACCAGATCTTGACCTGCGTGGACGTGAGCTTTAACACGCTGGCCAGCTGGTCGCGCTCGGGGGCCGACAGGTACCGCTGCTGCTTGAAGCGCCTCTCCAGCTCGTAGACCTGCGCCTGCGAGAAGAGCACGCGCGGCTTCCTCCTTCGCCGTGCCCGGGGTCGCTCGGTGCCGTCGGTCTCCGGCTTCTCCAGCTCCACCGCCTTCTGCAGCGCGCATAGCTCTGAGGGGGACAGAGAGGCCGAGAGACGTTGGGTCAGCGCGGCCCCGCTCGCGGAATGTCACTCGGTTCTACCTGCAGAGCCCAGCTTGGCTGCGGCTCACTCTGCCCAGTGCACTGGGCGCCACGGACAGTTAGCATTTGTTGAATGCCTACTATGTGCCAGGCACGGCTCCGGGCGGTCCCTGACCTCGGGTAATTTACATTCCGGTGCGGGAGATGGACAGTGACTGACAATTTCAGGCTGCAAAGAAAATAAAACCAGACGCCGCACTGGAGTAGATTAGATTCAGGCTGCTTTGGCTTGAGAAGTTAAATGAGGGGAGACCAAGGCCCACCCTAGGGTCGGTCACATTGTCTCAAAGTCACGGAACCCAAAGAAACAGAAGGCCAAGGGGTGTTGGTTCAGTGATCGTAGGCTCGCGCGTCGCGGGCGCGGAGTTTAGGGAGCGCCCTGGAAGCCGTGGGTGGGCAGGAGGCCTGGGAATCTGCCCGGCCCGCGCGCTCGGATTCGGATTGGAGGCGAGCACTCAGCTCGCGAGCCGGCCGGCAGCTGTTCGCGGGCCTCCCCACTGCTAGACAAACCTTGCTCGGCTCACAGAGAGATCTCTGCTGGGCTCACCACGGGCCCATTCGCCGGGCGCCCTCGGCCTCCGAGCTCGCGGGACCCTGCGTTGGGCCAAGGTGTCCCTACTGCGCCCCTTTCCCCGGCCGGCCAGCCTCCCCGCACTCCGGTCCCACCACCTCCCCCGGCCATCTCCTCCACTGCACCGCGCCTTCAGCCGCCCGGCATTTTCTAACTTTTCGCAGGAGAGAACGTCCCGGCCCTGGCCGCGTCACGAAGTTGTGTTGGGAAAATGTAACTACTAAGTCAGATTCCCGAGAGTCCGCAGTATCCGAATTTTACAGGAAGGCCCCTGTTCCCAAAGATTTCACTCTCCTGGAACAAAGGAGGAAAAGCCCCAGAAACGCGGATTGCGGCTGGGCTTCGGAAGGCCCCGGCCGACCCTTCTCCAACTGTGCGTAAAGACATGTCTGTGCGTAAAGGCATTTAAATTCCTGTTTAGCGGTTTTCTTGGATCCTCTAAATGACCAAAAAGGGGTTTGTTTGTTTGTTTGTTTTAAATGCAAGCAAACAAACCTTGACACAGAAAATCTCTCTCTCTCTCTCCCCCTGTTCTGTCTACCACAAACCCACCTCTCAACTTCGTAACAGATCCAGGAGCAAGGCTGCCGCCGCCTGGGGCTTTGTTAGATCGAAAACGTGTATATATTTTTTCTTTTGTCTCTTATTTCTAATCAACTCAACCGAGCATTTCCTTTATACCTCCGATGGGATGTGGGGCGCGGGGGCCCTGGCGACAATGTCGCCTCTTACGCTCCGAGCCCCCTGAGCTCCGGCCTCTGCGCAGGCACTCACGTCTCCTCCACCTTGGCGCCGGGGTTTGGGGACAAAAGTGACCCGGAAGGGAGAAGGGTGTTGTGTTTCTTCCTCACCTTTCTTTTCAGCTCGAAGGTCCTTGGCAGGGTCGGGGTCGCTATAGGCGCGCGTATACTGGCGACAATGTCGCCTCTTACGCTCCGAGCCCCCTGAGCTCCGGCCTCTGCGCAGGCACTCACGTCTCCTCCACCTTGGCGCCGGGGTTTGGGGACAAAAGTGACCCGGAAGGGAGAAGGGTGTTGTGTTTCTTCCTCACCTTTCTTTTCAGCTCGAAGGTCCTTGGCAGGGTCGGGGTCGCTATAGGCGCGCGTATATAGACTCGGGCCCCGCGTAGGCCTCGGGCTTGAAGGCGGCCAGCATGCAGGAGGCGGGCGCCAGGGTGGCCTCCAGGCGCGCCGAAAGCTCGCCGGCGGCCAGGCTGCGCTGCTGCTGCTCCAGGTTCAGGATGTCTTTGACCGAGAACGGTGTGGGCGTGAGCGCAGGGCTGGGGAACATGGTGGCAGCGCGCGTCTCACAGCGCCAGGTGGGCGGCAGAGAGCGGCGCTGCCCACCGGCCCTGGCAGCCTCTCTGCATGGTGCCCGC